ACAGCGACTTTATGGTTCTGGATATGCGGATGTAATGTTTGCATTTCGAATAATGTTAACAGTCACCTTCATTATTTGATTATTTAGACTCTGATTCCAGAACTATGATAAATCAAATGTTCGTGATATCCAGAATCATAAAGTCGCTGTTAGAACTCACGCGTCTGCAGTATTAAATGATTCAGAAACGCTTTTGCCATTTTTAAAAAACTATTGGGTTCATTGGAAAAGTTTCACCTTCTTTAGAATACAATTAAAAAAAAAAAAGAATATTTATAAAAAAAAATATATAAAAATGTTTTCTATATTTCTATATCAAATCCAAATATCTATATAATTCAGCTATGATAGCCACGGGACAAACTTTTTCTGTCCACCCTGTACGTTTTTCTTTCGATGTTATATCGAAACACGAGGAAATCTTCTCCCCGCCAGCCCGCTGACTCTTTAGATAAAAGACATGTCGAGCTGCGGCGCTGTCATCGACACGCGAAATTGCGCGGGCGAGGCCGGGCTTTCTATTTCCGCCAGTATATGCGCGCGCACGCGTTCATCTTGAATAAACCATCAGGACACGGCTTTTAAAGGTGCGTGGCTGAACGGTGCGGCGCGCTGTGTTACTCTCGGGACAAGGTTACTTATAGGGCGAATCCCGTGCCGGGTGATCCGGGCCTATCGGTACTCGTACCTCGTGTCGACCAGTCCGTTGTATGTAGTTACCCGTGTACTCGACCGGGGAGAAGGTGTAATTTAACGGGAACGGCTGGATCGAACTACGGGTAAGCCGCGTTACGTCAGTTGCCGTTTGCCCGTTTCTCTTCGTCGCGCTCGTCGCTTCGTTTCGACCGAGCTCTTCGTCGAAACCAGGCCTGGGCGAAATTTATTCAACTCTTTGGGGTTAGTTGGGTTTCAAATTGTTCCGCATTCTTTCTTGACAGTTAATGCACGGTGGGATATTTTTTAACCCACCTAAAGGTGCGTTTCGATGAAGTTCATTTAAAACGTTAGTGGTGGGATTATTCGTGCCCCGCTTTGTAACAAAGAATTTATTTAAATATTAACTTTTTTTTTTTAAGAATTATTTTAAAATTACCATTATTTTAAATTACCTAGAATTTGAAGAATTTATTTAAATATTAACTTTTAACTTTTTCTTTAATTTTGAGAAATATTTTATGTTTAATAATTGAGATGAACGTTTTTTCCTTTTTTTTATATTAAAAAAAATTCCCTTGTTTTCAATTCTTTGTTGCAATTCTTTTTTTGTTTCTTTAAAACTGCATGCCCCTAAGAGTTAATAGAACAACAACAGTAATAATAATAAATACATTTTTGAAACAATGTTCATTAGCATATTTGGCAAATAATGGATTTCAACTAGTGGCGTGTAACTTCGCTTGGTCGGTCAAGGGAATTCAAAGCTGTGTATAATAATTGGGAAAGTAATAATAAATTAAAGAATAAATTAATTAATCCCGCTGCGCTGGCAACTGGTTCGCGGACCATAACGAATGACCAAAACCGTATATAACAATTCGTCGTTTTCTTTTTGCTACTCGGTATGACGTCACTGGAGAGAAATTATCAAGAAGTAATAAATTTAATATTTGTCTTGCCTATTTTGTTTTACTTAAATATATTCAAAATACTGAGAAAATATTACAATTTTGGAACAAAAAGTTTTCTACAACACGCCATTCCAGCGCAAGAGGTTAAAAAAGGTAATTCGCAGTTAGAAAAAACAAGATGGACACCAGTTGTCGCGTAAAATTGCGAACAACGGTCCAGTTCCATTCGATTCTGGATTCCTACCTCGAGGTGAGACGAAAATCGCGAGACGTCTGATACACGAACGTTTACCTTGAATTCTCTGCGCGAGGACGAGACGTGTTCGCTGCTCACGAACCGGCTTTTACCTTTATCGCGTTTTCTTCGAGCTCGTCCCCCGGCGTCGAAGATTGATAGTCGTCGATCGCCGTCGTACCTCGAGCACCATACACGCGGCTGCACGCCGGAACCTTTTTTTACGCTCTTACTGCGAACGTCCGTTCGACGCTTTTATCGTCGATTCTTGCGAGTCTGTGAAACCGATGCGAGCGTAGGTGTCACTCGAGAGATCGTACGATATTCGTTCTTTCGTTCGACCATATCGGTTTTCGTTTGTTGTCGTTTAATTTCGTTATTACAAAAGTGACCTTATAACTGACCACACTTGGGCTCCGTACTGACCAGTACTTACCCCTACCAATCCTTGGAATTGGACTATCCCCACTCTACGTTACCTTTCTCGTTTGAAACATGACACTTGCACAACACAAAACAAGCGATATAATGTAAAGTGATCACTAAACGACAGAATGACATGAAACAAAAATAACGTTTACAAATCCACGTTTTTTTAATTTTTTATTATTTCGTTTGGAAATATAATTAATGGATTTTTCTATAACCTACAAGAAAGAAAATGAACAAGTTATGACTCTTTCGAACCCTTCACTTTTTCAGTGGCCAGCCTGTGCAAATACTGATATTGCCCGTGCATTATGATTGTTTCGAATCAAAGTTATAATTATTATAATTTATTGTTTTAGTTAGTTTCATTTAGTTTGAGTATGTAATTTAAAACAGTTTGAACGTATTTAATTTAACAAAAAGAACTGTTAAAACGTTCCTTTACAATCGAATAATGTAGTAAACAATACCGGAATCCGCCGCCCATGCTCTTGGTATCGTATAACAGTTGACGCTCATCCCCACTCTTTCTTTCGATGCCAATCCCTGGAACACGCCACCCCTCTTAACTAACCAGTGTTGGACACAGTTACGAACGTACTACTCTATTTAGTTTCGTTTAGTTTTGTTAAGCATTTAGTTTCGTTTCGCTTTATCTTGCGAAATTTTTACACTAACTTTGGCGTTCGATCGAGGCAATGGAGAACGTTGCGAGCGCGTCGACTGGACTCTGCCGGAGGCCGGTTAACGGGCTCCGAACGGATTAGCGAGTTTTCTGCCCGGCTACTGGGGAGGATCAACGAGTTTCACAGCGGCTTTCGAGTTCGGAGAAAATCGGTCGTTCCGAGAGGGTTTTGAACATTTGGCGATGGCTCTCGCCGTCCAAACACGGGGGGAGGGGGGGGGGGAGGGAGGGCTACTCTCTGCTGCTGCTCCCCTCGTCGCCGGTAAATGAAAAACCGACTCGGAGGAGAAGAATCTCTCGTAGCTTTTTTGTCAGCAGCGTGTCCAGGAACAGAGAGGGGAAAAGTAGGAAGATTCGACTTCGCTTCTTCTCCGGCTGGCTTTGGCCTTTTTTTACTTCCCCTCGCCGTGTGCAGCTTTCTCCTCGTGACTCGTTCTCGCCGCAGCGTGACCCGCTGATGCAAATTTCCCCTCCCGTTGCATTTGTTCGAACCGTGGACCTTCGCCCTGCTCTTCGTCTCTCTCTCTCTCTCTTCTTATCTGTCCTCGCTCCACGGGATCCCAAACGCCCACGCTCGCACGCTCGCGTCTTCCTCTTCCCCTCGCCCCCCTCCCACCCCCCTTTTCGCCACGCTTTCTCTTCTCTCTTCCTGTTGCCTCGTCGAGCGACGCACGAACTCGTTTCAGCCCGATCCTCTGAATATTTTCAACGCGTTTTGCGCGTCCCCCCATCTTGAATCTCTTAGCTCGCGAGCCGCGACTCTCGCCTTTCGACGTGACTCGCCTCCTTTTCTCGCTCTTTCGTCCAACCTGACTCGCACCGAACGAACTTCCGTACCCGAAAGAAGAGGAAAGAGCGACGTGTTTGGGGCTCGCTACCGGTGTTTTGTGAATTGAATTTTCGTCCTCTCGGCGCGAACAGCTCGCGCGCGCCTTCTGCTTACGTTACGCCGGATCGATTAACCGAGGTTAGACGCAGAGCTGGGATAAGCGCCCTGGCAACGCACACGTTTGTTCTCGGAATGCGAGACCCAGCGGCGTTTGCACGATGCGCTGCGGTTCCCTTGCGCGGAATTCCCCATTCGCGTGGCGTTATTCTCTCCTGTGTGTTCTCGCATTCCCTTTGACGAATCCACTTCAAATCCAGGGACTGCTCCGACAAACGTTCCCCGTTTGACGTGCATGGAAACCGAACGGTAAACCGGAAACCGGATATTTTCGACCTGTTAGACACGGAGAGTCTTCGCGAAGCGAAGTATAGTCTATACAGGGTGGAAAGAAATGTTTGTCCGTGGCTGTCGTGGATGAATTCTACATCTTCGATTTGATGGAGATACATGTAAAGAAAATTTTGACTTTGACCTTGAATTTCGAAGTCAAAAAAATTTTTTTTTTTTTGCATTGTATTTTACTCGTCACGAAAATAAAACTTTTCCGAGGAACCATAGGTTTCAACCTTTTGAAAAATGGTAAAAAAGTTTTTTCTCATTTATTTAACACTGCGGATGCGTGCTAACAGCGACTTTATGGTTTTGGACGCGTGGATGTCTATTTCACGTAATTTTTGTATTAGGTTTAATTTATCATAGTTGCAACATCAGTGTGAGTCTAAATAATTGAATGATAAAACTAACATTATTTAATATATAGCATTAACGTTAACATTATTTAAAATATAATTACATTCACGCGTCTAGAACCATAAAATTCCGCAGTGTTAAGCGATTAAAAAACTTTAAGAAACTTGCCCGACGTAAACCAGCGCAAAAAAAGTCTGACAATGAAATTTATGTCCAACGATGGCTTTGCACCTCGCAATCAGGTTGGAATAAACTTTGACGAAATTGAAGCTTTGAAATTGAAAGAATGAGTGAATTCGAGTTTGTTGAATAACGAATTTGAAATAATCTTAAAGAATTAAAAAATTATAAAGAATTCGAAAAATAACAGCATAACGATGTATGTGCAGCTCTCTTCAACTGAGAACCATTATAAATTTTGAAATTGAAAGAATGATGAAAAAGAATTTTAAAGAATTATAATAATTATAGAAATATATATAAATATTGTCAGAATTATAATATTTGAAGAGATTATAAGGAATTCGAAAAAAACCACGGGTGTTATATCACAGCTGTCTTCGACTGAGAAATAGTGAGCCACTGTAAGTTTCGAAGCTAAGAGAACAAATAATAAATTCAAATTTTTTCCGCCTAAAAAACATAACGGTGTGTACAAGCTGGCTTCGGCTCGAGAAACAAGTAAGCCATTATAGTGCGTACAGTTCAAAAAGGTGATACACGTGAGAAAACCGACACACCATGGTGACATTCAGTAACTAACAGGTAAAGGACAAACCCTCTTGGCTCCTCCTCCTTCCCCTCCATCTAATTCTCTGTCTTCCTCGCGAATAATCTCGTCTGGCAATTACACGTTCGTCACCAAGTTCGCCCCGTTTGCTCGTGTTGAGCTACTCTGTCTCTGTCTCTCTCTCTCTCTTTCTCTTTCTCTTTCTCTCTCGTTTTCTTTTCCTTCGACCAGTCTGCTTCTTCATCGACGCGTCGTCTCGCGCCGTGGAGAATCCAATCCCACGAGACAGACTGTTGCTGCCGCAGGGTGAAGCGAGAAAGAGGGTTCACGTCGTTGCAAGGGGAAGCTCGTGGAAAATCGTTTCATCCCAGCCAGCGACGTGTTTATTTGCCTGTTTCGAAAAATATAACATACGTGTTTTATTACGTGAAACATTTGTATACATATGGAGGTTGGACAAAATAATGGAAACCACCTCGTTTACTTACAACATTCGTTGTTAGTGGTCGCGTAGGCGCGTCATTGGTCTTGAATTCTTTTCGTACAAATTTTGATTGATGCTTAACGAGATATTATGCTATTCTTCGTGTGATGATGTTCTTATAATTAAGATTTTACAATCGCAAATTCCTTTACCTTTTGATAAGAATAATAATCATTGAGTAGATTCGACTGCACAAAATATTTAAATTGTCTTTGGATTCAAGACAAAACATAAGAGCGAGTTCAAGGTGCAACAACGCGATATGAAGTATTTGCATTATTTTTGTTCAAGTCTTTGTAGACCGTGTTATAATTTTTATTACAATTTTCATTTCATTTTATTAGCGCTTCCTATTTGTACGTGATGTAATATTTCTAAAATATACGCATATATACGTGTTCACTGTCACCGTATTTGCATTTAATATATTTACCTAAAACATTTGTACATACAGACATATATACAATTATTTTCGCATTCATGTGCACATATCACGTCAACAACGCTTCGACAGTACGCTGATCATTATCCAATATCATTTCGTTCGCTTTTTTTTTTTTTTGCGCTTTTTCTCTGAGGTTCGCTATTGCTATTGGTTTGATTCAGTTAGTCTGGAAAAATAACACATTATATGCTAACATTTTCTTGGTACCAGCGAAAAAGTTAAGTTAACAGCGTACGATTAAGTTGTTTCTAAAGTGACTAAATCAATTTTTCGAAAAAACGTGTGTTTTCGTCCACCCGTGTTCACGTATGTCTGTAGAAATGGATATACAATAAATGTCCGTAAACTTAGTGTCAAAGAGGTGAGGAACATCTAAATTGAAACTCGGTTGTGCATCGAATCGATTGTACTGAAAGTTAAAACGATAGAAAAGACTTACTGAAATCTGACGAGTCGACAATTTTGTTGACGGGCCACGATGAACCACGTTGTTGGCTGGTCATATTTTATTTCGAAGATGGTGAATGTGGCACAAACGGTGCCGTGGAAATTGGAAAAGATAAAAATGACAACTATCCAAAACTCTCAACGGTCACTTGCAGATACGAGGGATATCCTCGAGTGTTGCGAACGCGCTCAGCATAACTCACCATAACCATGGCAGTAATAAATTTTACGAAGACCTACATTCGAAATATATTAGAAAATCTCAATTTCCGAACTGCAGAAAATAGTATTGAAAAAATACAAAAGATGTTCAATGTTCTTACAAAATTATTGCTGTCAGAGGACAGCATTTCTCCCAATTCATGTATTGGTAATTTATCTAGAAAAATGGCACACAGTCTGTATCATTTACTTGCGTGATGACAGTGAGAAAATTAACGAGCGATTCCTCTCTAGTCTCGAATGAGTCTGATCAGCATGTGCCGTGACGTAACAAACAATAACGAAACATCGTCTCCGGTCAATGTCTCAGCGAACGACTGTTAACAGTCGCTCGTAAAGCGATTTGTAGTTGGCACGCATGCGCAAAGAGACTTTTGGTCACGTGGCCCACGTCTGAGCGTTGCGCCATCTCGCCTCGAATAACGCGTTCGTCGAGATTTACCTGCGTACGAATACGTGATTAGAATTTATTAGCGACGATCCGCTCGGGATTGAAAGATTTATCACGCAGTTAAGATTTTCGCGTCGACTAATCCCGTCAAGGGGCGTCAGCCCTCCTCTGTGCTTTCGTTTCTTAACGAGTAATCCGACCCAATCGAATCGGCCAAAGTTTCGCCGTGTTAACCTCTTTCGCGACGAGGTGTCTGAACCTCTGAAACGACGTGCACCAACGTGCAATATTTTCTCAGTTTTAAATATATTGAAATACAACCCAGGCAAAACGAATAATAAATTTATTATTATTCTTCTTTTTGTCAGTAATTTCTATCCAGTGATGTACCGATGAATTCAGAAAGAAGACGAATTGTTGTATGACGATTTGGTCGCTCGTTATCGTCTGCGAACCAGTTACTAAGCGCAAGAGACGTCCGTCACGCGTTTCCTAAGAACTATTGAATTATTAATTTTCATTAATAGTGTTTATGACATTTTGCAGTATAAGTGCAAGAGTTTGCTAACAAGTATTACGATAAAAAGTAAATATTATTAACGCTCGCGATATGATTGGTTACTCGTACGGTTTGGTCACTCGTACGGTTTGGTCACTCGTTATGGTCCGCCAACCAGTTACCAGCGCAAGGGATTAACAAACGTCGTCGGATCGGCCGAGTTTCGCGTCGTTTTCGTTCGTGGAGGAGGGAGAGAACGGTCCGGGAGTGGTTTATCGAATTTTACGAGGAGGGAAATAGCATGGTTCGGGGCAACTGATGAGATTCGAGGGGACGTCACGGCCCGTTCACCGCCCCGAATAAATTCACCGACCGCGCCGCGCCAATGAAATTCCCGCGGACGATAAATTTGCCAACCGCGGCAATTGCAGCGCGAACGCGTCGCAGAAATTACGCGGCTAATCCGCCGAACCAACGATCGTCGCGCGTTATTAAATCGGCGAGTGATCGCTGAAAAAATTACGCTTCTTCCCGCTTTTACATTGACAGTTGTTACGTGTGCCAACAGTACTGATAGTGATCGATGAAGAAGATACAATCGCGTTGAAACAGACAACTCGATCCATTTAGACGAATTAGGTATGAACGGTGTTCGATAATTGCGAGAAAACTCATTTACACAGTCGTGTTCGACTATTTCGACAGTCGTGAATCGACGTAATCGATCGACGCGTATTTAAACGAGCGTCGATTGTACGCACAGTGATGAGAGAACGCGCGTATGAATTTTTAATATTAATAATATTTTATCGAATGTTTGCACGTAAATTGCAAAAAAAAAAAAGAAACTTTATCACCTTGTTATCACCGCTATTTTAACAAATATAAATCACTTTCGTGCAGTCAGTTTTGCGCCACAATTTATTTAAACGAAAAGTCGATACTTGAAACTATTTTTGAAACTGTAATTTGAAAAAAATCATATAGTCTAGTTAGTCTTATTTTAAAACGTAAAGCTTATGTTTTCACTGTCTATTCATTTCATGTCCGTTTTGATTAGAAAAAAAAGAGTACGTGTCAAATATTTTTTCAAATACTACATTTTCAGCTTAAATTTCATTGAGATCGATGATTGACACTTCGATGTGGTTTCGGTTCGACTTTCGTCGCTGAATTAAACATATATTCTACTTTGAAGTAGTAATGTAGATAATGTAGATACTGTAGTAGTAATGTGGATAATGTAGTAGTAATGTAGATAATGTAGATAATGCAGTAGAAATGTAGATAATGTAGATTTTGACGAAAATTCGGACCGGATAATTTTTATTAATTGTTTCAACGAATTGTTTGTTCACGCCACGTGTGTGCATTGAGGACGGGTAACGTGTGAAATTTTTCGCGCGAATCGTCAATCATTCGCGAGTGGTGAGCGATGACTATCAATCGCGACGTTCGCCCGTAACTACGCGCTGACATTTGTTCTGGCTATTTGCATAATTGTAACTCATATTCATCGTCGACGCTCGCGATGACGATATTTCGCGGTAATTCTGCTCGCGAGTAGTCACCTCGACCATCGACCTATAGTTTTTCCTCGTTACCTCGGACGAGGCGTTTTAAAAAGAACTAGAAATATTTTTGTTGCTTCATTAATATATTTCGATATATCATAACGTTTTATTATATTTTATGATATTTTATTACATTTTATGATGTATCTTTAAATCACTCTGTCACATTTTTTAAAAAATATCCCATATACCATGGAAGACCGATTTGGAAATGATTCTACGTAAATGTACAAATCGAAGTAAAAGAAGAGATACATTTTTTTTAATCCGAAGTGTCTCTTCGAGTTTGAAGATTTATCAAAGAATTTTTGTTAACCGATCAGAGTAAAATTCTCGATAGAATAAAATGTAAAAGCATAAAAATACGAAACTTCATTTTTTTTCTATGTTTGAAATCATTGTACAAAAAAAATATCGATCGTCTTGATCGTGGTTTTCGTATCACAGTGCACTCGCGTCGTAGGTTCTCTTACGCGACAGCTAATATTACAGTTTTATCTCTCGCGATGGCAGCGCTTTTTTCGCCGACGAACGGATTAATAAATCGCGTGGCACAAGGGGAGTATTAACCTCTGGAGATAATCGAATCTCTCTTTATTTACATGACCATTTCGTCGTTGCCATTTGCACGAGTGCTCAGAAACCTCCGACGTTGTCACCGAGTTGCAATTATTTCGAGAACCTCGAACTCTCGGGGTCTGTGTTTCGCTCCGGGGAAGAACGAAGCGACGAAAAGTTAATGGCAAACTTTTCATTAGCCCGTTCTCACGGGACGAAACTGCGCGCAAAAACACGTCGAGTTGCCGAAACACTTTGTGAAGGGGGTGGAGGGAGGGAGTAAAAGAGAAAGAGGGGAGAAGAAAAAGACGCGATCTAGTGGCGGTGCGGTGAAACACGGAGGCGAACGTGATTCGTTAATTATCCGCGACAGATGGTGAATTAGGTGATAAAGACGAGACAAATTGCGGGGGAACAGGGGACAGAAAAGCCAGCGAACCAGAGCTATTTTCATTCACCTTCGTGTTCCTTCCCTTTGCGAATCCTTCGTAATCCAGGCTCGGGAAACGGGCGAAAGATTACGTTGGGGCGCGTGTCCCACGTGTACTTTCATGAATTAATTAATTAATTAATTAATTAATTAAAAAGAATCACTTTTGCTTGGTTCTCGGTTTCTTTGTCGCATCAACTAGCTGGAGAAATATTTACGCTCGAGAGAGAGAGAAAAAAAAAAAAGAATTTGCTCCTGAAGCAATTCGAAGTCTTGAAAAGTGGTAAAAAAGTTTTTTAATCGTTTTGCGTTCTAACAGCGACTTGTTCTGGACAAGTTCAGAAAATCGAAGGACAAACTTTTCTTTAACACTCTGTACGGGATGGTCCAAAACTGCTAAACGTGTATATTTAGTTTAACTTTTTAAAAATGTTTTCCAAGAAGACCAAGAAGTCGTCGAAATCGGTGATCACAACGAGATTCTCGATCGCCCTCGAGTCGTCGTCGTTTTGACGAAAAGGCTACAATATCGATATTCGTCGTTGGATCGTTTCGCAAAGGAAACGCTCACCGAGAACGAATGCTAATACCGAGTCCAAAGTCTGGCTCGGTGGTCGATCGGCGTCGCCAAAGGGGAACACCGGACACGCGTCCAATACATGTTTCCGATTTTATCGCGGTACGTGTCGCGGCGTGCGGAGGAACGAAATTAGCGAGGGAAAAGGGAAGCCGACGGCGACGCCCCGACGCTGCGCGACCACCGGCTGGCTGACGACTTCATCCGACGGAGAAACAGCTTGTAACGTTCCGCGAAAGCAGGTAACACGGGCCGTAAAAAAGGGACAACCAGTAGAGTCGATAGAGGGGCAACGGAGGAACGATGGCAAAAAGACAGAGAGAAAACATGAGGGGACAAACAAACACACGGGGACCCCGAGTCAAGTTCCTCTCTCGGTCATGGTACAAATCTATGGAATCCTCGATAGTTCCTTGGGGCAGGGGAGGGTACAGAGGGGAACCGCTACCTGAAAAAGTCGCCTAGGTCGAAACGGTCTAAATCGTCCCGTCTCTCGAATCCGCACGAAGATTTACGAGCTCGACCGAAGATCTACCGTGGTGTGGGTAGCAGCAGGTACACCGAGCCCCCAGATATTCCCACCGTCGATTGTTTTCCTTTCGTCTGGTCCCCTCGGTCGTTTCCCAGGACTTTCTTTCCGAAAAAGATGCCCGTGAATGCGGTGACTTCCCTTGGATTTCCGGAAGAGGAATTCTGTAGTGACTTCGGTAATATTGGGACGTGGGACACGATGCTAATTTGCAGAGAATTCGAAGGGAAATCGTGGTTGCGCTCGTTATCTTGGGATTCGAGCGAGGTTCGTTCGCCTTCGAGACTTGTTAAATCGGCCGTCCGTTTGGTGGACCGACCATTGGCTGGGCGAGCTGGTGGGCATCGCTGACTATCGCTGGCTATCGAGTCGAGCTTGTCGAACGAGGGAAAGAAAGGGCAAAGGGTTAGCGGGGGAAGCCTCGCGGCCGCGAGCGGGCGGTGAAAAGGGCAGTAGCGGCGAACGAAGATAGACGATGAGAAGAGTGAACTTTAGAGAAGGGGTTGGGAGGAAGGAAGCAAAAGGAGAGCTTCGTAGGAGACGGGTAGGCGGATCCTGTCTCGACCTGCTGAAATTCCAGCATGTACCGGGTGCTCTGGAGATCTTCCGAGACTGGGTGGCGCGCGCGTGCGAAACACCATGAAAACTAGAGCGCCATTCACCGTTCATGTTTTAATCAGTTTACCTGCGTTCGATTCGGCGTGTATACACGTTACTCCAAAACTATATTTCGGTGCCATTGACCTGTATACTCGTCGTGTAAAATAAAAAGCTACCATTTATTTTAAGAACTCCACATTTCAATAAAAAGTAACCGAAAATGCCATTTGGCGATATGTTTCCTTAATATTACCAATGAAATTACTATTTATTTTATAAAAAAGAGTAGAAGGCCTAAGCTATATTGGGAATGACAGTCACGTGTTGAATTCAGGAGCGGATGATTCATTACATGAATCATTATGATGGCTCCACTATCTCACATCCCTCAAGTATAGATCACCAGACTAGAATTTCCAATCAGGCCCCTTATAAATCTCAGTTTGTTCCGAGTTCTGCGAGGAATTAATATGTAAAGTTGACTCTGTTTATCCTTATGTGTCCTTCACATTTTCACTTCTG